TTTTAATGATTTTATTTATCCTTGAGAGAGAGAGAGAGAGAGGGAGAGAGAGGCAGAGACGTGGACAGAGGGGAGAGGCAGGCTCCCTGTGGGAAGCCTGATGCGGGACTTGATCCCAGGACTTAGGATCACAACCTGAGCCAAAGGCAGATCTCAAGCACTGAGCCACCCAGGTGCCCCCTTTCCTTATTACCAATGATTACTGCCATTACCATTAATGGTAATTATTGCCATTATTACCTCTTAATGTATTATGACTTTGTCTTCTTCCCGCTAGAATGGAAATTCTCTAAGAGCAGAAATATTAGTCTGTTGTGGTCAGAGTTGTTCTTTTGATTCCTCTAGAGCAATGCCTGACCTATAACAGGCATTTAACAAATATTTAATGAATGAGTGAATCCCAATTCATTCAACTGTGGCAATGAGTCAGTAAGTGGTTTCCCAAGATCACAGAGCTCTATGTGGTAGAGCCAGTATTTGAATTCAGGTAGTCTTGTTCTGGCAAGCTGGTTTCTTAAACACCATGCACACTATTTTTAATAAATTCTAAGGATATGTGTTTTAACGATCTTGCTTCACTGGGGCACCTGGGTGGCACGGTCAGTTAAGTGCCCAACTCCTGGTTTCAGCTCAGGTTCTTATGCTCATGAGATTGAGTGCGGAGTCGGGCTTTATGCTCACTGTGGAGTCTGCTTGGGATTCTCTCTCCCTCTGTCCTTCCCACTCATGCTCTTTTCTTCTCTAAAAGTAAATAAATTTTTCAATAAATAAGTTTTTCTTTACCCCACCCCTTTCCCCACATTTATACAGAAGGATATTTTACAGATGCACCCCTAATTGTGCAATTGCTAAAGGTAGAGGGAAAACACGTCTTTGACCATTCAGAGCACAGGAGATGAAAATAATAAAGCCACTGTATATCTCCATTTACCAGTGTATGAAATGTAACCCTGGCTTAGCTTTAATATTTTTAATGTTTTAAGAAATTTAAATCTAAAACATCCCCTAAAACATCTATTCTAGGCAGACTAGTCTTTCTTCCCCTATGAGCCTACAACAGTCATTTTGATTTGCCACTAAATCCATGGATTATTTTTCCCCAAGATCCTCCTATACTTTTTCTCGTTCCTCTGAAAATTTTTTAAGATTTATTTATTTGAGAGAAAGAAAGAGAGAGAGAGAGAGAGAGAGAGAGAGCGAGCGCACACGTGTGCAAGAGCAAGTGAGAGAGGTGAGAGAGAGGAGTTAGTGGGGAGTGGTGGGAAAGAGAAGTGGACTCTCTGGTGTGCTAGGAGCCCACAAGGGGCTCAATCCCAGGGCCCTGGGATCATGACCTGAGCCAAAGGCAGACAGGCAGACGTTTAACCAACTAAACCATCCATGCACCCCTCCTGGGAATTTCTAAGAGCAACTCACCAATTCCTTCAGCTGAAAATAATCCATCCTTCCTTTACTCTATTTACCCTCCTCATAAGCTTCAAGTCCCTTCTCACTTTCTATTCTGTACCCTTTTTTTCAACTTTTCAAATGTACAGGAAATAACCACAATAACACTAGGTACTCAGATTCAACAAATGTTTACATTTTGGCCATTTTTTTAAGCCTGCCCTTATATTCTGAATAACATTTCTGGAGGACCTGGGAGGAGGGGCACTATTCACCTAGCTAGTAAACTACCTAAGTACTGAATCAAAGGCTAGCCTTATACCATTCCTTAACCTTTCATGTAAGTCTTCTTCCCTAAACTTCACGGTAAGACATGTATTATATAGAAATGTTTAACTATGCGCTTTATACATAACAAGCACTCATAGATGCATTTTTAGTACCTTAGAATAGATCCAAGTAGGCATTTAACAGATATTTGCAAATTAATGAATATGCCACTGACAATTCCTTCAAACACATAGGAAATATTCAGCCTTTTAAATCCTGATAAGGCAAAATCATTTTTTTTAAAGATTCAATTTCTTTGTTTTTCAGGATTTTATTTATTTATTCATAAATAAATGAAGGGGGGTGGGCGGGCGGCGGGAGGAAGCAGGCTCCATGCAGGAAGCCTGACGTGGGACTAGATTCCAGGTCTCCAGGATCACGCCCTGGACCAAAGGTGGCGCTAAACCGCTAAGCCACTGTGTTGTCCCAAAATCATTTTGATAAATAAACTGGTACCAAAAAAAACGACAAACTTCTCTGTAATTCTTTATTAAAAATACGGCTGTACACATAGAGTCTGAAAACAGGATTAAAGATGAATAACCCATATTGGGATCATGACATCAGAACTTAACATAATGGTGCTTTTAGGGAAGTTGTTGACATTCAAACCACAGAACCAAGGTCAAAAGCAAAATACAAAGGTACCCTCAAAAATATTTACAATGAAGTAAATACACTAACAGAATTTAAAATAGGTACAAAAAATTGAAATGACCAACGTTACATGATTTCCAGGGTTGTCCTTTCTGTGCTTTGATCTGACCTAACAGGAAGGTATGGGAAGTTTATAAACTTAATTTGACTATTCTCAGATATTAAAATCTTCCTATGAATTAAAAAGACTAATTTTTAGACAACCTCTTAAATGGAATTACACTATGGAAAAGAGGGCTCCCCCAAAAACACCTAAGCAGAACTAAGAGTTCTACTGAAAACCATTCCCAATAAAAACTAAATGAAAAATAAATATAAAACAAAGCTTAAAAAAAATATGTATTACCTGACACCAACTGTTTTCTGGCCAACAATATTTACTCATGAAAACATATCAGCTGTCTACCTTTATATTTAAACCAAGTCCTGAGGTTACTAGGGGCTGAAGCAAACTAGCACTTAGGATGCAAACATTCTTGAGTTTGTGATTTGAACCTGCCTTGCAGAGGGAAGTTTGCTGGTCTATACAGGATGAGAAATTCAAGCCCTATTTTACCCCTGCCCTTCCTTAGCTTTCACAAAACATTGGTCCACAAATTAAATTTTCAAAAAGTTCCCAGACCCCAAAACTAAAATAGATGATCCCCTTTCATTTTCAAAGAAAACAATATTGGAAAAAATCTCCAGCCCGCTTATAAATTAAGCATTTCATATTTCTTCGAGAATACAAGTAGTTCTTTTTTGTACAAAAGAATTACAATATGATTTGTCAAAAAACATATAAAAAGACAGCTGCTCTTCCTCAAATACATGAGCTAATGATAAAAGACTTTTGCATGTTAATGTCTCCAAGTTCTTGTTCCTTTTACATAAAAAAGAACATTATGGTGGCAAATATTAATTATCCTTTGAATATTGAACATTATGTTCTTTTTAAAATCCATCCAGATCAAATGCAGTAATTGGTTTTCTTTATAACTCAACAACTGATGCTACCAAACGTGGACTCAAACACACCTGTTAAAATGTGTAAAGCATGTCTTTTGTCTTCAAAGCTTTCCGGTGAAGAGAGGTGTTTTTTTTTTTTTTCTTGATGCAAATCTCAAGGCAGAGAAAATCATTTTAAAGCTTATAAAAAGTGGACAGAGAAATATTAAAAACTTCTCTGAAAACTACAAATATGTATAATTATTAAAATTGAAGACTGTAACATCAGTTGCAAGTGCTTGGAAGTCTTTCCTGACCTTTTGAGTTTCCACATTTTCTTCATAGTTGCATGGTGAGCACCCAGTGCTAGTAAAACATTCAGTGCTGGGAAAGGAGATAGAGTCTTCATTACTGTTCTTTTGTGAAAGAAAATTCCTATGTATTTGGCAGTCTTCAGTATCAAAGTATAGGTATTTCATTAACTAGAAATTCCATGAATACCCAAGTTTGGCGACAACTGCACGTCCAAATATTAAGAAAGGTAAGAGAGGAAAATTCCAAACTTTTGAGATTGACTTATTCAGGAATATCCCACATAATGAAATTATCAAAAGTACTATTACTTTGGGTTAAGCAGTGACTGCAAAGGCACAGCAGATTGTTATCCCTCCAGATTCAGACTGTAAAACTTCAGAAAGCTCTTGATGCCAGACCACTGCTGTGTTTAGTTCATCTGAACAGTGTCTCTGTGTCTGTATCCAGTGTAAAGTACCATAATAAAGCTGTGGTTCAAAGAACAGAACTTTATACAAAAAAGCGAACTGGAAATCATCTAAAGCAATATACTCCCGAACTTCAGGCCTTTGTAAGAATTTAATTTTCTTTTTCTTTAAAAAACTGCATAAATGTAAATACATCTGAAAAGCAGGGAAACACCTTTTTTAAAAAAAGACTGGAGTAATTTGGAGCAAAGAGCTCTATGTGCTGCTCCTTAAGTTCTTGTTTATTCAATCCTCATTCAGAAAGGATTTAAATCTACTGGTGGGGGAATTTGTATCCAATAATTCACTGATCTCTGTGTGTTCCTAAAAACAAAACAAAAAAACCCCAAAAATCTCCATTTGAACTAACAGTGGGTGGCATACAGAGCTTGCATACAATACTCTTACAAGAATTATACACTATACTGTACTTCTGTGAAATTATTTACCTGGTCCATTATGCTATTCAGGGCAACCCATCCCCAAAAGAGCAAATTCTGCTACCCTCAGAGACAAAAATGCTGCCCAGCATTGTTTCCCAAAAATGTCCTTGCGAATAGTTTCCCTTAATAATAAGTAAGTATACAATGTGGCAAAAGTTCAAAGATCAGAAAAAAGTCTTTAAAAAATTAAAATTAGTGCATATACAATTGGAAAAAAAACAAAAGCGGGAACACCATTCACCTAATGGTGCTCCTTAATCTAAAATAAATTCTTCACAGATATGGCCCCGATGGCAGCCACAGCTCTAGGATAAGTGAAACATTCTTCCTTTCAAGTAACAGTGTACCTGACTGAAGTGCAAGCAGCTTTGCTCATCTCCTGTTTGTTTCCCAAATGTGAAATGAGAGGATGAGAACAGTTCAGCTGTAGTGCAATTTGCTATTGGGTAAGGTCCTCAGCCATGTCCTGCGTGCTTTTTCAGCAAATACTACAACTGACCATTTGCAGCTGCAATCAGTTCTTGAAAAGTGTTTTCGAAGCAGCGCTTTAAGTCACTGTAAGTAACCACAAGTACACTCTTCTCATCTCTGGAAATGAGGCTTATTTTTTCTGGCACACCAGCATCTAACTGAAACAGATACAAAATAGGAAGTTCATACCTGGCAGAGGATAATCCACTTTATTTTAGCACAACTTCTGCAACAATGGTGAATGTTTTAAAATTTTCTGTCATATTCCCTTCTAGATATACATAAGCATTTTACATCACTAATAGTTTGCACACTTTTTGACTTGGATATTTTTTAAACATTATTCAATGTTTCCACCTATCTTTCATGCATAATGCTTGTTTGCATTATATTCCATCATTTACTTATTCCAATAGCTTCCATTTCTGTTTTTGAGGTAAGCTCTACACCCGATGTGGGGCTTGAACTCATGACCCTGAGATCAAGAGTCCCATACTCTACCAACTAAGCCAGCCTGGCACCCCAATATCTTCCAGCATTTTTGTCACAAATTATAGAGCAATGAACATATTCGTCTACTTAATTTTTTTTTTCTTCTGTAGAATTACTTCCTTAGGAGAAATACCTAAAAATATAAATAAGGAAGCAAGAAGCACAAATAGCTTTTATAGCTTAATACATAGAGCTAAATTGTTTTCCAAAGGGTATCAGAAACCACTGATTTATGAGTTATACCAATTTATTTTTTATTTTTTTAGATTTTATTTATTTATTCATGAGAGACAGAGACAGAGAGAGACAGAGAGAGAGAGAGAGAGAGAGAGAGAGAGAGAGAGAGGCAGAGACACAGGCAGAGGGAGAAGCAGGCTCCATGCAGGGAGCCTGACGTGGGACTCGATCTTGGGGCTCCAGAATCACGCCCTGGGCCGAAGGCAGGAGCTTAAACTGCTAGCCACCCAGGCTGCCCAGTTATACCAATTTACAAGCAACTCCATATCAAGTGCAGACCTTGCGATTTTTTACATTTTTTGACGAATGTTACCAAATATTTTCCTACATTTACTTGTGTTATTTACTTGTGTTTACTTGTATTATTTCCACTGTATGAATGCCAATTTATGATCTCTACCTATTTATCAGTCAAGATTTGGTAGTAATAACTTAATCAGGTCCTTATGAAACATATTAATCCTTAGTCCATCAAATAATTTATCTTGCTATGGTTTTCACTTTTTTGGTTATTTTTCAATGTATATTTTTCCTTCCTTTTTCATTAATTCATTCATAAAAATGTCTAAAATTTACTAATTCTGAAGGCTCAAACTTTCAAATCATTTTACCAGGTATTTTGTCATAATTTCCACCAAAATGTGCTATGTAAAACTTTAAGTTTTATTTTATTTATTTTTTTTAAGATTTATTTATTTATTCATTCAGAGAGAGCGAAGAGAGAGGCAGAGACACAGGCAGAGGGAGAAGCAGGCTCCATGCAGGAAGCCCGATGCGGGACTCAATCCTGGGTCTCCAGGATCACACCCCGGGCTGCAGGCGGCGCTAAACCGCTGCGCCACTGGGGCTGTCCGACTTTAAGTTTTATATCATAAATATGGTCAATCCATCCCTTTCCAATTATACTCTTTCCAAACTTAGAAAATTATCATACTTTCAGATTTGGGATAAATTTTATTTACTACTAGTTATTTTATGAAATGAAATAGAATTTTCTTCAAGTTTTCAATTACATCCTAACATTCATTAAAAAATCTTCACTTAAGATATCTGCTCATGGCTTAAGTTGACAGTGTAAATACTTGCCAGTGTTACACTAGTGCTACATATTTTTAATTACTGGTGCTTTGATACCATGGATACTATTTTCTAAAATCCAGAAAACTTGTTCTCCACTCATTTCTTTCAAGAAAAATACTTCCCCTTAAGGAAAAGGACAAAGAAATATATAAGTCATACTGGATTAGCTCAACGGTACATACAGTTTGTTCTGTCTTAATGTAGATCATTGACAATACTCTTTTTAAAAGGAAGTTCAAGCAAGGCAAAGTAGTGCCTAAAAAGAAAAACCACATTTTCCCTGAAGAGTTAGCATACTGTATGTTCCCAGTTCTACATCCTGTGCCATGGTAGGTATTTCTTCTAGCACCTGTAATTTAGGGACAGTTTGGACCAGGGGTCAGCAAATGGTTTCCATAAAGATTGCTAGATACCAAATGCCTTAAATTTCAGAGCCACACAGCCTCTGTCACATACTCGTCTTCATTTTTCTTTTGCTTTTAAAAATGTAAATACTGTTCTCAGGTTGTGGGCTCTACAGAAGTGGACTGTCAGGCCACATTTGTCAACCCCTGAGATTTAGGTATAAACCTATACAAAGACTAAGATTTACTTCTGGAAACCCATTCTAAACTAATTCCAAGCAATTCTTAAGGAAAATGCATTCCTTCCCTCCTTGGTAAACTGTCTCTCTCCTAGCTCTTTCAAAAACACAAAGCTCACCTCTCAAATGAATTGATGATATATCTACATCTCCCTAATAAGTTCATCTAATCATCTAATTCTCCATGTAGAACGCTAGGCCTACTGTCCTTTTACTATTATAGTTAACATGAAGGGCATTCAACAAGACTCACGATGACTTAGAAGAAAGGAATTCAACTTCTAAAAAACGTTTAAATATAAAATTATTTTTGTTTTTCCCACCCACTGCTTTATTAGCATTTTATTATAATAAAAAAATCTACAATGAAAAATTCTGTATTTATTCATACAGATGTTGAAAAACCTGCCTGGTCTAGAAATTGTTACTAAGTAAATATACCCAATAATTATTAATAAAATATCTTTTAGGCTGTAGCATAATACATTTACACTTAAGTCTCTTAGTTTTTGTAGAAGATGTAACTCTGCAAACTGTAGATGGCATTGTGATCTTAAAAATCCAGATACAAATTACCTTGTTAAGACAAGAAATGATATGACTGAGATCAATCCAAGGAGCACCCGCTTCTGTCACCTGATGGAAAAGATGATCCCTAAAGAGTTTCAAAAGATAACGGTCTCCAGTCTCCGACCAGGTAGGATCCTTCTGAAACCTGGGGAAAGGTAATATTTTACCTCAATAACTCATGCTGTATGTCACATGGCCATCCTGATTCTTCAGACTCAACACCAGCTTAATTTTATTGTTTTCTCTGGTAAGTAGGGTGTGTGTGTGTGTGTGAGAGAGAGAGAGAGAGAGAGAGAGAGAGAGATGTTTTATTTTTTTAATCCTAAAGTTATAGAGGCTAAAAAAAAATGCTTTCAAATTTCATGTGCAGATTGCTAAATTTTTAAGAAATAATTTCACACATGAAAGTATATGAATACCAGTTTCTAATCCTCAAAGGCAATCATCCCTTATGCACTCCTATTTTATAATCACTTTCATATTTAAGCTCCTACCATTAGATAAAATGAAGGAAAAAGAAAAGGTCTTTAAAAATCTCTAGAAATAGGTTGAAAGAGGTTCTTTTCCTCTTCTCACCTTTAGGATAGAGTAGGGAGATATGATTAGATATGTGTTCAGCTTTTTACTGGTAAGCATAAAATAAAAAAACATTTATGGAAACAAACAGGCATATTTTGATTTCCGACCATCATGAACTAATGTGAGAGTGTGCTATGAAGAACTAGAGAACTGACCAGATGACCACTGTTGCTTTCTAGTGACTTCTGGAACTTACGGTCTAGTGAGGAAAACAGATGTTCAAAGAAAGTTGCACATTCAGATAATGTGATTAAGAAAAAGGGAAATGGTACACAACAGAAACATGAATTCATCTGGGAAGGCAAGGAAAGCTTTCTAGAAGAGGTAGTAGATGCTCTTCCCAGAGAAATATACCCTAGTCAGACGCATCCAGTATTTGCAAGAAACAGAGCATATCGCACTCCAGAAATCTAGCAAAGGTCAGTGGCTGGATGGGGTTAGGGGTTGAAAAAAAAAGAGACCAAGAGAAGGACCGAGTGTAAAAGACAAGGACAAAGAGGGAGAGAAGGCAAAAGAGGGAGGAGAAAATTAAAAGAAAAAAAAAAAAAACAAAGTAGATCTGACGCAAAGATAAGGGAGAGATCAGATTATGTAGTCTTGGTTAAAAACTAGTTCTGGGTGAAAAAACAAACAGGTTTTTTTTTTTTTTTAAGAGATTTTATTTATTAATGAGGGACGGACACACACACACACACACACACACACACACACACACACACACAGAGACATAGGCAGAAGGAGAAGCAGGCTCCTCGCAGGGAGCCCAATGTGGGACTCCATCCCAGGAACCTGGGATCATGACCTGAGCGGAAGGCAGACGCTCTACCACTGAGCCACCCAGACATCCCAACAGGTATGTCTTCTAAAACACGATGGAAAGCCTATCACACGGTTTAAACACAATCATATATGAGTTTTGCAAAGATCACTCCAGGGACTTTCAATTAAAATGCCAATTAAACACATCCATTTATCTGTTTCATTTCAAAACCCCACCAAACTGACAATGAATGTCTAAGAAGGGGTATAATAATAAACACTCAAGGACAAAGTAATCAGAAGCAACAATGGAAGAAAAACTTGGAAGGTGAAAAACAGGTCAGTGATATGATTAACTGACTTGAAAAAACTGAACTTTAATGCTACAGAAGGTACAGAAAAACATGGATGCCATAAAAGCAAGCCCTACCAGTTGAGGCCCAGGAAAGGAGATCGCTGGTACTACTGCAAGTACAGGTATGCACTAAAGCTGGAGGAGCAGAATGGATGAAAAAGTTCTATAAATAACAAACAGATAACCTCTCTTTCATCCCTGCCTCCATTTCTGCTTTGCAGAAATTTGCCAAAAAAGATCCCAGCAATCTTTCCAGACAGGGTGAACAAAGAAGCTGAAGCCTCCAGGGTGCCAGGAAGAGCAAGGGATGGTAGAGAAGGCTAGTTAACTGACACTTTCCTGTTACTTAGGCTACTCAAAGCTAGGCTGTGGGTTTAAACTACAGACAAAAGGTTGAAATTTTTCTGGATATAGACTTGCCCAAGAGAAATTCTGACATTGAAGAGTCTACTGAAAACAAACAAAAATTATAATTAACAATGTCACACTAGTTTACCACACATACTATAATCCTTGACCCAGCAAGGACCTTCCAATTAGCTTTTTAGGTGAAAAAGGTCATTTTAAAAAAAGTTTATTCATTTATTTTTTTAGTGATCTCCATACCCAACGCAGGGTTCAAACTTACAACCCCAAGATCAGGAGTCAGTAGTCACATGCTCTTCCAATTGAGCCATCCAGGTACCCTGAAAAAGGTCATTTTTATTATGAACGCACAGCCAAGGATCAGAAATCCTTTGGAGAATGAAACAACACTAAACACAACAAACTCTTGTTTCCTATGAGATATTCCTATGCAGGGAAGAGAACAAAACAAAACCTAACCAAAAACCTATAATTGAGAGTCTAAGAGAAATAAGAATTAGATGCTGTAAGACAAACATTTAGAGAACAGAATGTTCTTGAAAATTAACAATATGATGGCAAAAACTAAAAATTCAAAAATGGATTAGAAAAAAACCTTTATTTTTAGACAAAATAAGTTGAAATGATTACCTAGAAAGTAAAACCAAAAGATAACAAGACAGAAAGCAGAACAGAATATTAGAAAATCTATTGCAATGCTCTAACAGCTGAGCAATAGAACTCCAAAGGGAGAAGGTATCAAAGAAACAATGAAGACAACTTCTCAAAACTGAAGGACATCAGTTTCCAAGATTAAAAGGGTTTGCCCACTTACTGATTCATCAGAATGAATAAAAAAAACCCCACACCAAGGCATACACTGTGAATTTCTGATCACTGATAAAGATCCTGAAAGCAAAGGGGAAAGGGTTTGAAAAGAAAATTGCTTTGAATCTAGAAGTCAAAATGGAGCAATGCTTCAAATTTTGACAGAAATGATCACTACTATTACTTTACTATGTATTAGAGATACCTGCTAACACAATCATTCCAGAGAAATTAAAAGTATAGAAATTAGGAAGGAAGAAATTATAATTACAGTTGTTTGGAGATAAGACTATGTATCTGGCAAACTCAAGAAAATCTAGGGAAAAACAAACCAAACACTAAGATATCAGGGTACAAAATTTACAGAAACCAGTAATTTTCATGTGCACTGATAAGAAGCAATCTGTGAAGAAAGTATAGGGGATAGGATTCACATTTATAATAGCAACAAGACAAAATACCTAGTAAACTCAGTGAATTACAACAACCTAAGAATGACTTAAGACCAGTAAAGTCGGTATCTACAAGTATGACAACAGGGCATTATCTTAAGAATCTCAACATCTATAAATACAAATACTCCTTAAGTTTATTAATAAACATGTTTGCCTTCTCAATAAAAATACTATCAGATTTACTGATTTTTTTAAAATTAAAAAAATTTTCTAGAATTTGGTTCTAGAATTTCTACAGAAAATTAAGCAGTTTTAGGAAAACAAAAAAAAACAGACAACGAAAAGATGAGAAAGAACGAGCACCTACGAGAGTTTAAAATGTTAGTCATTAAAATACTAATGTGAAAGAAGTTCTGCCTTAAACCAGTGCAGAAATGCTAGACTATTCAATAAATAGCTTTTGAGCCATGGTAGCCTTCTGAGGGGAAGGGTGGAGGAGTTGAATACATACCTTACATCCTATATAAATTCCATATGTATAAAAATTTAATATGGGAAAAAAATAAAACCATAAATAAGTACTCTAGAAGAAACCATGAGATAATTCCTTTAAAATCACGGGAACAGAAAAGTCCTTTCTAACTTTCTGACTATGATTCAAAATCCAAAAGCATAAAAGAAGTTTGACCAATTAGACTACATATATAAATGTCTGCATGGAAAAAATTTAAGCAGAGTTAAAAGAAAAATGACAAACTAAAAAGATTATGATCATAAAGGGGACACCTGGGTGGCTTAGCAGTTGGGCCTCTGCCTTCAGCTTGGGACATGATCCTGGGATCCAGAATGGAGCCCCACATTGGCTCCTTGCAGGGAGCCTGCTTCTCCCTCTGCCTGTGTCTCTGCCTCTCTCTCTCTGTGTTTCTCATGAATAAATAAATAAAATCTTAAAAAAAAAAAATGACCACAAAGGATAAATCTCTCTAGCTCCTATACACCAAAAAGACAGACAAATCGACTGAAAATAAAAATGATCGAAGGATATGGATAGATAAGGGAACAGAAACAAACCAAAAACATAAAAATGATAGGCAACATGCTCATTAAGAGTTAACACAAAATAAAACTGCACTGTGACTCAATTTCTCATCTATTGGGTTGACAAAAATCCACAAGTCTGAAACAGTACTGTTGGTGAAAAGCTCTTATGCATCATATATTGGAATACCCTTCAGTTAAGGGTTTATAGTCACACATCCACAGATCCAACAATCATGACTGGGCCTATATTAACGCACACATAAAGTTCAGTATGCTTAAATCCGTCCCTTCAGCACTGCTTATACTAGCAAAACACTGAAAACAACTCAAATGCCTATTGATAAGGAATTGGAAAAATAAATTATAGTGTATCCACAGAATAGACTATTATATAGCTATAAATTACGGAAGTAGAGCATTAAGGTTAAGATCATGGACTCTGGAACCATACTGTCTGGATTCCAATTCTGGCTCATATACTCACTAATTATGTGACCCAGAAATGGTATTTAACGTCTTTATGCTCAAATATCTCTGTAAAGTGGAAATACTAATGGTAGCTGCAACACAGTGTTGTTATGAAGATTAAGGCTAGGTCATATTTGTAAACTATTGAGAATAGTGTTTAGTACATGCCAACATACCTAAACAAAAAGATTTCTAAAATGTAGTTATGAGAAAAAGCCAACATACAAAACACTGCATGGTTTACAATTTATATATATTAAAAAGGGGAAGGAAGGAGATAATAATGTATATATCATTTTAACTGGGAAAGAATATGAAATAAAGATTAGTGAGAGAAAGTGGAGAGACTGGGGATGCTACAAGTATGAGATTTTTTTTTCACTGCACACCCTTTTCTACTTTTTAAAAAAAGTGGTTCACATTAATCTATTCAAAAGATTCAATCAATAAAGAGAATTTCCTGAGGACTATCTAGAATTTTATACCCAATCATACTATCAATAAGGTGTAAAAATAAAGATATTTTCAGACTTACAAAGACTCAAAAAACTCACCTTTCTCAGGAAGCTATAGGGGGATGTGCTCCAATAAACCAAAAGAATAAACCAAGGAAAAAAAAGCAAGAAACGGGGTATCCAACACAAAGGGAGAGACAATGAGAATTCCCAGGATAATAGTGAAGGGAAGCTCCAGTTCTAAAGTGTGAGTGTGAGCAGGCTTAAAGCGCAACCAGCCCAGATAGGAAGAGAAGGACAGAGGCTCCAGGGGCAATTTCTCTAAGGGGGAGAAAAAAAAAAGGAACTGATAGGTTACCTATTTTTGACCATATAGAAAGGTGTTTCATAACTCTGGCAGCGAGTATGGAATAAACTGGTGGTCGATATTTTTTCATTCACTTAGTTCTCTATTTAAGATAATTATTAACCCCAGGAAAACAAAAATCAAAAAACAAAATACAGAAGAAAGAAAATATAATCATGGTTTAGTATGTGGTGCAGCTATGAACAATATTTACCTGGTTATATACTAATGTCAACACTAAGTAAAGATTTAACTCAAAATTATGGACTAAGTGGTAGAATGTGGATACATGTGTGTTTATGTTTGTGGTTGGTTAAGGGAAGGGAATGTGAAAGACAAAGTCTCATCTTCCACAGGACAAAGTCATTAGCTGAGTTAAATACTGTGGAAAAAAAAAATCAAGGAAAAGTACTATATTATTTTTAAATAAAGAGATAAATGCCAGAAGAAACAGCTGAAAGTTTTTGTTTTAATGTCATCTTCTCTTCATTTAGAAAAATTATCAGAAAAAAAAATTATCAGAGAAAATATTGAGGTTTTTTTTTTTTTAAACTTTGAAGAAAGGTAAGTAAACATAAATTATGTGGTCAAAAAAAACTCCCTCAAGTAATATTTATGTATCATCAATCTCTATTAACAGAGGTAACATTCCTGAAACCTAACTACAATGATAATAGCTATCATACTATTCCACCTGTCTTTGGCAGTTATTACTTAGTACAGACATCAATTCTACTTCTCTCTGGAACATACGGTCATTAACTTTTAACTTGCAAATGAGGCAGAACTAAATGACAAATAATGTAAGGTGGTGATGTTACTGATATGACTGCTATAAATAATGTCCTTTAATAGAAGATAAGGAGTATACAACAGTAAGACCTGTCTGAAGTCTCTGACTATGGTAAACTGAACTGACCAAGTTTCAAAAAGGAGACAGGGTAGTACTGACAGTCATAAAATGTTCCCTCATATACAAACCACTTCTAACAGTACCTTTCTGTACATGTATGTGGATCTGTGGAATCCCTAAGAACATTCATTATATACCTATAGCCTACATCTAGCCTTTACCTATACCTAGGCTATAAGTAAAAAACAGCATCCTAATAGCTAACAACAGGCATTAAGGTCACTTGACATGAGAATTTTTCTTTTTCCAGGTAAAGCCAGTAAGAATAAGGAATACTCATTCTTGTTAATGCCCTTGATTGAAAACATATTGTAAAATACTGTAAATCCTTACTCCGGCCTCTCATTGATTGTTCCCAATTTTGCTAGAAGCCTAAACAGTCTTCCATTTTGAACCTCCTATAAAACATTTTAAAAAGAGAGAGAATATTAATATCCAGCTAACTGAATATAAAAGCAAAATTTTACAAAACTGGTATCCTATACCAATATTATCTTTAAACAATCCTAATATCCCCACCTTTTGGTTATAGTTTTGAATGTAACATGTTCATTTCATTCACTAGTAATACTCAAGAAGATCATGCAGCTGGCCATTTTTAAGAATGGTTAAAATAACTTACATGAAAAAAAAATCAAGATTGCTTTAATGGACTATAGCAAAATCATGAACAAAAAGAAGAAATAAGAAATTAAAATACTGAACATTAAATTTGGACAATATATCTGCAAACAGCCTTAGCCAATTACGTACTATATTTAGCACAAAAATTATTATTATTTTTATATCGCTCTACACATACAGATGCCAAGTGTGTATATCTCCTTTTAACTAGACTCTACCTTTGCAAGGTCTTCCTCTATGACATCATTTCTCATTTGAGCAGCATCCAATTGAGTATAAAATCGAGCACCAATCATGGGCATGATGTCATTTACACTTCTCATTCTGTTTTGGTCAGTCAACAAATACCTAGTAAAATAAAGAATCACTTGAACACCAAACATAAAATTTTAAAAAACAACATAACCCACAAGCACATAGCTATCACTGCTGCTATCGTATTAGTGTACATACATTTGAAAGCATTTTTTCATGTAAGTCAAGTTCACTTTTAAGGCTTAATGATTTCTCTGGAAAATTTTAAGAGCCAATAGAAGAAACTTGTCTCTTTCTCCACATTTTTGCTATTATGAAAATGAGAAAGGAAAGTGGAACAGGGTTACACTTAATTATTTCCATTCTCAAACCCTTCCTTACAATAGTGGGGCATGAAAAGACTTACAAAATTTTTGGAGGGGTGAAATAGAGGGTGGTTGTAGGTGAAGAGATTTTTCCATTGCTCTTCAAAATAATTTTTGAAACCAAAACTGGGTCTTCAGGGGGGAGGGGCAAGATGGCGGAAGAGCAGGGTCCCCAAATCACCTGTCCCCACCAAATTACTTGGATAACCTTCAAACCATCCTGAAAATTTACGAATTCGGCCTGAGATGTAAAGAGAGACCAGCTGGAACGCTACAGTGAGAAAAGTTCGCGCTTCTATCAAGGTAGGAAGACGGGGAGAAAGAAATAAAGGAACAAAAGGCCTCCGAGGGGGAGGGGCCCCGCGAGGAGCCTGGCTGAGGCCGGGGCGAGTGTCCCCAGGACAGGAGAGCCCCGTCCCGGAGAAGCAGGAGCTGCACCAACCTTCCCGGGCGGGCGGAAAGGGGCCCGCAGGGAGTTGGAGCAGGACCCAGGAGGGCGGGGATGCCCTCAGGCTCCCGGGGACACTAACAGACACCTGCGAGCGCAGGGGAGTGCTCCGAGCTCCCTAAGGGCTGCAGCGCGCACGGCGGGGCCGGAGCAGCTCGGAGGGGCTCGGGCGGCGGCTCCGCGGAGGGGGCTGCGGGGCGGGAGCGCGAATCCACCAGCGCAGGCCCCGGAGCACAGGGCGCCGGGACACAGCCCAGGATCCGGCCTCCCCCGGGACAGGCAGAGGCCGGGAGGGCCCAGGACAGCAAGGACGCTCCTGCCCCGAGCTGAGCAGATCAGCGGCCCCGCCCCGGAGCCTCCAGGCCCTGCAGACGGAGAACCGAGAGCCCCGGGCCCCGTAGTTCCTGCGGAGGCTGAATCCAGGCTTCCAGAGTTGCCATAGCAACTGCAGCTGTTCCTCCTGGGGCCCCACGGGGTAAACAACCCCCGCTGAGCCCGGCAGCAGGCAGGGGCAGAGCAGCTCCCCCAAGTGCTAACACCTGAAAATCAGCACAGCAGGCCCCTCCCCCAGAAGACCAGCTGGACGGACCAGTGATACTCCCCCGTGTTCCAATACAACTTGTTTTTGGCCACTCTGCACTGAGCAAAATGACTAGAAGGAAAACCTCACCTCAAAAGAAAGAATCAGAAACAGCCCTCTCTCCCACAGAGTTACAAAATCTGGATTACACTTCAATGTCAGAAAGCCAATTCAGAAGCACTATTCTACAGCTACTGGTGGCTCTAGAAAAAAGCATTAAGGACTCACGAGACTTCATGACTGCAGAATTTAGATCCAATCAGGCAGAAATTAAAAATCAATTGAATGAGATGCAATCCAAACTAGAAGTCCTAACGACGAGGGTTAACGAGGTGGAAGAACGAGTGAGTGACATAGAAGACAAGTTATTGGCAAAGAGGGAAACTGAGGAAAAAAGAGACAATCAATTAAGGGACCATGAAGACAGATTAAGGGAAATTAATGACAACCTAAGGAAGAAAAACCTACGCTTAATTGGGGTTCCCGAGGGCGCCGAAAGGGACAGAGGGCCAGAATATGTATTTGAACAAATCCTAGCTGAAAACTTTCCCAATCTGGGAAGGGAAACAGGCATTCAGATCCAGGAAATAGAGAGATCCCCCCCTAAAATCAATAAAAACCGTTCAACACCTCGACATTTAATAGTGAAGCTTGCAAATTCCAAAGATAAAGAGAAGATCCTTAAAGCAGCAAGAGACAAGAAGTCCCTGACTTTCATGGGGAGGAATATTAGGGTAACAGCAGACCTCTCCACAGAGACCTGGCAGGCCAGAAAGGACTGGCAGGATATATTCAGGGTCCTAAATGAGAAGAACATGCAACCAAGAATACTTTATCCAGCAAGGCTCTCATTCAAAATGGAAGGAGAGATAAAGAGCTTCCAAGACAGGCAGGAACTGAAAGAATATGTGACCTCCAAACCAGCTCTGCAAGAAATTTTAAGGGGGACTCTTAAAACTCCCCTTTAAGAAGAAGTTCAGTGGAACAATCCACAAAAACAAGGACTAAATAGATATCATGATGACACTAAACTCATATCTGTCAATAGTAACTCTGAACGTGAATGGGCTTAATGACCCCATCAAAAGGCACAGGGTTTCAGACTGGATAAAAAAGCAGGACCCATCTATTTGCTGTCTACAAGAGACTCATTTTAGACAGAAGGACACCTACAACCTGAAAATAAAAGGTTGGAGAACCATTTGCCATTCAAATGGGTCTCAAAATATACCCTAAAAACTATAGAACACTTCTGAAAGAAATTGAGGGAGACACAAAGAGATGGAAAAATATTCCATGCTCATGGATTGGCAGAATTAATATCGTGAAAATGTCAATGTTACCCAGGGCAATTTACACGTATAATGCAATCCCTATCAAAATACCATGGACTTTCTTTAGAGACTTAGAACAAATTATTTTAAGATTTGTGTGGAATCAGAAAAGACCCCGAACAGCCAGGGGAATTTTAAAAAAGAAAACCATATCTGGGGGCATCACAATGCCAGATTTCAGGTTGTACTACAAAGCTGTGTTCATCAAGACAGTGTGGTACTGGCACTAAAACAGACATATAGATCAATGGAACAGAACAGAGAACCCAGAAGTGGACCCTGAACTTTATGGTCAACTAATATACGATAAAGGAGGAAAGACGATCCACTGGAAGAAAGACAGTCTCTTCAATAAATGGTGCTGGGAAAATTGCACATCCACATGCAGAAGAATGAAACTGGACCACTCTCTTGCACCATACACAAAGATAAACTCAAAATAGATGAAAGATCTAAATGTGAGACAAGATCCCATCAAAATCCCAGAGGAGAACTCAGGCAACACCCTTTTTGAACTTAGCCACAGTAACCGGAGAAGGACAAACAGTGTATGTTCTCATTCATTTGGGGAATATGAATAATAGTGAAAGGGAATATAAGGAAAGGGAGAAGAAATGTGTGAGAAATATCAGAAAGGGAGTCAGAACATAAAGACTTCTAACTCTGGGAAATGAACTAGGGGTGGTGGAGGGGGAGGAGGGCGGGGGGTGGGGGTGAATGGGTGACGGGCACTGAGGGGTACACTTGACGGGATGAGCACTGGGTGTTATTCTGTATGTTGGTAAATTGAACACCAATAAAATTAATTAAAAAAAAAACTGGGTCTTCAATTTTGATGAATCAAACAAGGCTCAACTCTTTGGGAAGCTGCCCTCTGCTCTGCAACTTCATTTACAAGTTGTCATGGTATATTTATTTCTGAGAAATCTTCAGAAATTAACATATGTCACAAGAGGCCAATTCAGTTTCTTCTACCATTGTATCCGAGGCAGAAAAATACTAAATTTCAAAAAGCTGCCTGCTAGAATACAAAGATGACCAAAGGTGAGCCATTTTCTAACCATTCTCATTAAAACAGCTCCTGTTCTTACACTCTCTGCTTAGAATTCTTATTTTCTTTATAGGACTTAGCACTACCTGCAAACATCTTATCTGTTTATATGTTTGTTACCTCCTCCCCATTAGGGTGGAAGCTCCAGAAGGTAGGAATTTTGTTCATCTTGTTCAAAGTATCTTCAGCATCTGGCACAGAATAAGCATTCTTTTGTTTAATAAAATACTCCTGTAGATAATCTATGTCTTAGCTATTTACCTATAATTACTGACATATTTATATCTAACTACTTAAAGTTATTATAAGCTTTGTAACTTTGGTAAGTTACTGTACTTCTCCATGCCTCACCTTTGGCATCTCTAAAATGGAGCAAATTTATAGGGTTATTGGGAAAATTCATTCATTCGCATCAATTCGGAAGTGCCTGATACATGATTTACTGCTCTACAAAGTTATTAGTTAATATGAAAGCATGGCTTTTTTATTTACTCTTTATTAAGAAAAGCTTCAAATATTTATAAAAGTAGAGAGAATAGTATAATGAATGTCCATGTACTCATCACCCAGTTTTGACAGGAAAAATGGCAGCCTAGTTCATTACATTTATATCCTTTACTCTCAGTTTTTTTTTTTTTTAATTTTATTTATTTATTCATGAGAGAGACAGAGGGAGAGAGAGAGGCACAGACACAGGCAGAGGGAGAAGCAGGCTCCATTCCATGCAGGGAGCCTGACGTGGGACTCTATCCCGGGTCTCCAGGACCACACCCGGGACTGAAGGTGGCGCTAAGCCACTGAGCCACCCACGCTGCCCCTACTCTCAGTTTTTTATTTTTTTATTTTTATTTTTATTTTCTTTTTTTTTTCCCTCAGTTTTTTAAAAAGAAAATTTGGAGGGACGCCTGGCTCAGCAGTTGAACGTCTGTCTTCGGCTCAGGGCGTGATGTCACAGTCTAGGGATCAAGTCCCACATCGGGCTTCCTGTGAGGAGCCTGCTTCTCCCTCTGCCTATGTCTCTGCCTCTCTCTTTGTGTCTCTCATGAGTAAATAAATAAAATCTTCACAAAATAAATAAATAATAAAGTAAAAAGAAAATTTGGAGATTACTACTTGAGATTTGAAATATCTTAGATGTTGCAAATTAAGGCTAGGAATCACTGTTGTGAAAACATATGAAAGAGATATTAAAAAGAGAAACCATCCGATTATTAATAGGAACTGGGCAACCACTAGCTTCCAGTCCTCTGTCATGAGTGGAAAATTTATGCCAGTGTTAACAAAGCACAGGTGGGCAACTCCATCCTCTATCTCTCAATTCCATATCCAGGGCTAGCCCAAAAAGAAAATGAATCATCCAAGACTACACAGGAATAGCTGAAAACTAAGACACTGATAAGGATCAATATGCTCCAACTGCTTCTAGAACAGAATAGGAAAAATGGCAAGAGATATCCTAGCATCTGTTCTCTAGAATAACTTAGAATAAGAATTATGGTTGTCCACTGTCTGGAATTCTCCAATGTTAGATGTATCTTAGTCAGGAAAAGTCCTATCTAGAGTACTGCTGACAGTACTCCAGAGTGGGGTTCTCCTAAGTCAAATTAATTTCAAGCCTATACTTGAGGACTTTTTGGGAGTCTGAAGTTACTGGGAGTAGAAGCAAAGGGACCTGTACAAACATGCTTTCTGGACTGGATGTTTTGGCCATAGAATCTATAACTAGATTGCATCTGTTTATTTATGACAGCTTTCACAGATATACTGATTACTCTCTAAGGCAGCACTGTCTAACAGAACTTTCTGAGATGATGCAGGATATATTAGCCAGAAACCACATGTAGCTTTTGAGTTCTTGAAATGCAGCTAGTGCAGGTGAAGAATTGATTTGTTTTATTTTATTTTAATGAATTTAAACTTAAAAGCTCGTATGTAATTAGTGGATACGAATGCAGCTTTTGAAGTACCCTTTGGCCAAATGTTTAAAACATTGGTAACTAAACTCATTTATATGAATTTATTCAAAGAAATATATACCTAACAATAAAGAAATTAAAAGTGGTTTAATTGTTCTGCCTGATTTTGAATAAGAACTAAAATAGAAACATTATTAAAAGGCCTTTAAGAAAAAGCTATCTTCTTATACGATCATTATATACACTTAATTGCATAATAAAACTTACAAAATCAGATTCTTCAGGTCAGAAGAGTAGTTGATTGTCACCAGTTCCATGGCTTTCTGTAAATTCTCTCGCTGAATTCCTGCCAAAGAGTTGCAAGCCAAAGCCAACACAACTTTTCCTAATGATATCAGATCTGCTTGCTGACATGAAAGAATAAATATAACTTTTAATTTTTATTTTATAGGTACAAATGTAATACACTGCCACTACTGCCAGCACCTTTACAAAAGAGCTGCAGAACTCCCAGCACAGAGTTCTCAAATACTGGTGCTCAGAGTCACCTGGGAACTTTAAGATGATTTCTGAGCCTCTCCACCACAGATTCTCATTCAGTAGGTCTGGGTGAGCAGGCCCAACATTTTCAAAGCACCCAAATAATTCTGATGAATGTACTTCCAAGAAATATTACTCTAAGCAATTCATATGCCAATTACAGGATTGCTACTTCAAAATTTAATTTAAAAAACTTTTTTTTAATTTAGACAGACCTGACATTATTATAAGAAATTTAAGGCTGGTTACTAAATACTCACTTTACAATGGTCATTACAATTTATAATATGCCCCCTTTTCACTTTCCATTATACCCAAAATACAGTGGGAGTCTGAAAAATTATTTGAAGAAAAGTTGTTCCATTATTCCAAACACACCATAAGCATTACCTGATTTCAGAGTATGGTTTTTAGAACATCAAAAATGCTGCAAAACCTAATGATATCCTGCCTGTCCTGGTTTCCAAATAGACAATTTTTCCTCATATTACAACAGATCTTTTAGAGCTGTGTAACCACCTGGTATGTATGTATATATGTATGTGTGTGTGTATGTATGTATGTATGTATGTATGTATCTATCTATCTATCTATCTATCTATCTATCTATCTGTTTTTTAAGATTTACCATTCTGAGGCTTTCCTTCTAAAAGGATTTTCAAAAGACAGCTAGCTGAGTTGGGATAAGCTCTCTATTACCTATTTTAACTACAGAAAACAGAATGGTTATTCCAAGTGGCCCTTTTCTGGCAGGTAACTATTAATAATTATATGCCTAGGAGAATGGAATAGCTCAGAGTTAAATATAATCAATCTGAAGTAATTTCGACAGAAAACTTCTATAAATCTCCAATATCTGAGACCTGATCTGAATTACTGAATATATTTACTGAATAATGGTTTAGTATAAAGAGTTTTCAAATCTAGCTATACATTAAAATTACCTGTGGAGCTTAAACAAACAAATCATCCTGTGACCATCCCTTTATCCCAATTCTGGTGTTACCAGCCTGGGGGAAGATCTGGGTATTATTAGTATTTTTGAAAGTTCCCACAGGAGTTCTGGTATGAAGCCAGGGTTGAGGAACCACTGATTTTGGGGAATGCTTATAAATGCTATAGTTACAAAATAGGAGAATATTTCAAGGCAGTCACTAATGAAACTTTTTAGCAGTATACACAGCTAACCTTAATGACATTTTACCCAAATAATAAAGCATAAAGAAGTCAAACACCATTACTAAAATAACATCAAAAAATCCAAATTCAAAAGTTCACCCAAAACTAGCATTTGTAAATCTGACATCTTGAACATGAGATCCTACAACCAGTGGAAAAACAAATTTGAAAAACTACTTTGAATCTATCAGGATAAGAGATGCCAAGGATTCATGTAAAGAAACTTTTTGCAACTTCATTTATGGTACAGAGTTAGGAGCCCAGAAAGGCAGGAGGGGAGGTGGCATGGGAGAGAGCACTAGTACTGCTGCCATCATTTCTGTTCTCCAGAGGGCACTGCCATGAACAAATGCAAGAAGAATTCCCCTCAAATCATTCTTAAGGTCATGTAAAACATTCCAAGTTATAGTAATGAAACCATAAAAATGTGGGTCGAGAGAAATCAGTACATGTAAATGCTAAATATAAATTTCTGTAAGTGGTTCAATTTCATATCCTCAGCAAAGCAAACTGAAGATTGCTACTAGTTACCAAGTATTTGAGCAGCATATACCAACATAGCCTCCTCCCAACCCTTAAAACAACAGGATTTTCAGTTTAGCTCCACCCTGAATTGATGCTATAACTAAACCCACACCTAGAACATTTCAGTATTCCCTATTATGAGACAGGAAAACAAAAGTCTAAAATAACTGAAGGACTGGATGGTTTTTAAAATAAGAATATCTGATTTTGAGTACACCCCACCATCTTTCTAAAGCTGACTCAAGGTGGGAATGCCCACTTTTAGAAATAAAGTATACATGTAACATAATCCAGATCAAATCAGAACTGATTTTTTTTTAACTAAGAGGTTAATGAAGTCCTGCTTAATTAAGAGAGTTTAACATCATAAAAGCTCAGTAACTCTCCTTTCCTTATTTGCCAGCTAAATAAGTTTCCATTTGTTATTTTGCTTCTTACCTCCATCTGGTTTTTCCCCCCATTTGTTGCATTCTGGAGGTTTTCCCCCCACTCATTTTCAGTTTCTTCCTGATTCTTGATTTCTTGATTTTTCTCTGATTCTATCTATGGCTCTACTTATGTCCACTTTACTGAAAGTCAGTCTCTATTCACGTGTCTGAAACAGACTATGAAAAATAGACTACAAGAAACAATGCACTCCTTTCTCATGTACCCTCTTCTCTGTAAAATCACAATCCCCCACTGGGACTATCTTTAATTCTCTCCTTTACCTTACTATAAACTATATGAAAAATCTTCCACACATACATCACCCACCCCCCAAAAAATTAAGGGAAAAAAAAAAAAGAAAACCTGAGATACCCTTTACTGCTAGAAAATAAAGGGAAGGTGACAATTGGTTTAAAGCAGCCTGAGTTTATGAACAAAGGCAATTCCTAACTTATCAATCAGTTGCCCCAAAAGCTTACTTAAGAGTTGTCTATTAGGAACTCTGGGATTACTTTTTCTTAAAAAGAGTTCTTTTTCAAGGTTACTACACAACCTCTAACATAACTGAAATAATGTACATTTTCAAAGAAAAAAGAAAATAATACTGCTATGATACAGGAAACTAAAATCAAACTAGTCTTATACTAGTAATTTAAAAAAATTACTCTATTCATAATAGAGAAGAATGAAATAGCTTAAAACTGTACTTGTAAAAAAACAAAACTGTAAGGTGTTTCATTTTTTAATGTGGGCATGGGGTTTCCGGATACTTGCAATAGAGTTAGATAGCACTTGTTCTAAATAATGTCTACTTTCTCCTCAAAAATGTGGTGTTATTATTTTCCTGGATATATGAAGATCACTAGTACTTCAGTCAATAATCAGTGACTTTTAGAAGCACAGAGATTAGGAAGAAAAATTTTCAGTCAATTAGTTAGGCACTAGGTCTAGAAAGATAAGAAGGAAAGTAGCTAAGAACAACCACCCTAGATAAGAAAGAGGGAGCAAATCCTCTTAGGCAGAAGGAAAGCAGTGCTGGGGAAAAAAAGCAGTCAAATTCTTCTTGCTGTGTGGTGCCCACTAGGTGGTGCTACCAACCAGGGCAGCTCGGCTGCTGCTAAGTTTGGCTGGGCAGGAGCAGAGGGGAAGATGTGAAAAGTCTGCACACAATGTGATGATGAGTGGCTCTAAGTCTTGGGAACTGTACTGTCTCTGGTTCTGTAGCAAAAGAAGAGGTTTACATATGAATTGGATTACCAGGCACTACTTAGATGCTACTTCTCATTCTGTCTTTTCCTTTTTGTTCAGAAAAGTTTGGCTTATAATGTAAAGCAAACTAAAATCTTCTTTCAAAGATTTAAACAAAAGAAATTGAAACGAGAAGGGCAATGAAAATGTACAGTGTTTTTTCCTTGTTCCTTCATGTAATTAAGAGACTGTGCCTTACTTCAAACCTTTGTAAGTTAATAAACTTTCAGAAACACCAAAAATTTCTTACACAAAAAGAATTAACATGGTCTTAAAATGGCTCCTGCATATCCTCCAAAAAATGTGAAGTGCTGCAATACGAACTCAATGACGTGAAAGATTTACTTTACACAGCCACATTACTTGCATAGAGTAATCAAGGCAGAAGCAACTACGCTTAACATTCCTTGCAGAGATAGGGTCTTATTCTCCTATACCTTATATTAATCAAGAAGTATGAAATAAACAGCTAAGAACATAACAGGGCCTAAATCTACACTATTATTATGACGAGATTAGAACCAAATTCTGATTATATACAAGAAGTGAGTATGCAAAAGAAAAAATTATTTAGAAAATGGCAACACAACAATATTCCTTTGAAAATACTTCTAAAATTTTTGGATTGGTAATTGGACAATATCTAAAAGTAAAAATAACAGTTACGATCTTAAGACATTAAAGGAGTGAAAAAGGGAAAATGTCATTTAATATAATTTATTCAACTGATTAATCTGTTTTAATTTATGCTAAGGACAAACTTCCTCATCACAGAAATACATTTTCATTTGAACAGTTAGTCTTTGATACTCACTAACTCTCTATTTCAACTTGTAAGGGCTCTACAATACATACATCACAGTGATTAAGAAATATATGTTCAAAACTGGCACATTTCGTCACCAGAATAAATTGAAATCTAGACTTAAAACCCCAAAATACTTTAAAATAAACAAAATTTGTCTTAAAAGAAAATCAAGCCTTAAGTTATTAAATAAGTATCCATGTTCATTCTTACTCACCTGGTATTGAGCCATTAATGCCAATGGATTATTATTCTGACTGTTATCAAATGTTAAAACATCAAAAACTCCAACACAATTTACTCGCAACCTTCAAAGACCAGAGAATTTAAAGAAAACTATTAAAATGAGATTTAAAAAAAATAACATTGCCTATCATATTAGGAAGGATCTCAAGAATATTATCTAGTCTAAACTTCTATCCTACCCCCATGTAACCTCTATCAAACACCATTTTAGAGATGATTTGGTAATTAAGACTCATAAATACCAAGTGATAGGCCTATGGCCATAGAAGCTGGAAACTGATAAATCCAGGCCTATAACTCACATCTCTGACTACCAGGCCAGTGGCCTTTTCACCACAGCAAGCTGTTTATTAGTTATTCATGAAAAAGAACTAATTAGCTTTCTAACATTTGCTGAAGATGTATTAGGCACCATTCACAAGTATTAATCATTCAATTTTACACGTATTAATCATTCAATTCTCTCTATAACCTTATGAGACAGGTACCTTATAAATGTGGAACAGATAATAATACTACCTGTCTTAAAAGGTTGTTGCATACATAGAAATTACAGAACTTGCTCAGGACAACAAATAGACTTAAGATATGATGAACCCAGGTAACCTAACCAGGTACCAGATCTTGAGCTCTTTATACTATGCTGTCCAAGATAACTCTCAAAATTACAGTAATTCAAGTAAAATTCTAGTGAAGTCAGGGGCTATTTATTACTTCACTTTGTATCAGCATTTCTCAAAGCAGGGGACCAGTGAGCAACAACAGCATCACCCAAGAACTTGTAAAAGTAAATTCTCAGGCCCCACTCTAGATTTACTGAATGAGAACTCTGAGGGTAGAGCCCAATAATGTGTGGTTATTAATGAGCCCTCCAGTGATTCTGTTTCATGCTACAATCTGAGAACCATGGTTATACATAGAAAAGGTATACTGATATTACATCTATATTCTCCCAAACCTAACCACATATACCTCCCAAATCCTTACAGGATTCTTGGTTAATAAACAGGCATTTTATTAAGAATTCAACTTTTTTTAAAAAAACTTACAAATGAACTCAAAGTCACAGCAGTTGTTCTGGATGGAATATATGAAAAGGTAGAATTAAAACAAATCATTATGCTTTGTTTACTAAACTGTCATAGCCAAATAATGAAGACAAAACTCAAAATCCTAATACCTTGTTTTGCCGGTTATCAGAATCTTTGTTGGGTCCATAACTCGACATGCCAAACCTGCTGTGTGAATGGTACGCAATGCAGAACTCAGTTGGACAATATATGCCCAAATGAGAGATTCTGGCAATAATCCTGCATGTTGTCTGGGCAACGGTCCATCGTGTTGACCTATAAAACAAATAAATTTAAAAAATGACACCTTTTAAACAACCAACTGAAAGACTTAAACATCCAAACCAAAATTAATAAAAATAAAAACATGTATCATGGCACAACTTGTCAATTTATATATTTATACAAAAAAGTTTAGCCTATTAGTAAGAAATTGAGAGATAAACCCCAAATTCCTATTTGAGATTATACCTTTATACTGTTAGCAGCAGAGCTCTCACTGAAGTGCTCTTTTCTGTGACCATTGTAATTAATGAACAATAAACAAAATTATTTAAAGAATTTAAATTTAATTGTGAGTCAAATAAATGTAAATTCTGAATAAAAACAAGAATGGTGAAGATGATTATTTTACTTAAAATAATCCTAGCTTGTATTATTGTTCAAGCAGGTGAGACCTGTTCATTTTGTGGCTTGAAGAAAAATAAAAAGTCTCTACCATCATTATGCTGAATGTTTTCTTATTCTCCATCAAATTCCCAGCCTCCTCTCTTACAGCCATATCAGTTAGACAGGATGGTATCCAACTCATAAAAATATAAATGTAAAACAATGAATATCACTCACGTCTAATAATGAAACATAAAAATAATATGATCTACTATGACAGTAATCATCTTGATTCTATTAGTTCTTTTTGTGTGTGTGTGTGGGGGGGAAGAGAACATGTGCTTGAGCAGGGGTGGGAGGGAATTAGGGGCAAGGAGGCGCAGAGGGAGACAGACAAGGAGAGAGAGAAGCTTAAGTGTGCTTCATGCCCAGTGCAGAGCCCGATCTCATGACTCTGAGATCATGACTTGAGCCAGAATCAAGAGTTGGGTGCTTAACCAATGGAGCCACCCAAGCTCCCCTCAAACTCCTGTTTAAGCGCTTCTTGACACTATCTCCTGGGTCACTGTTAATTTTAAATCAGTGGAAAAGGAGCCACATAAATTTAATACAGATTTTTAAATTATTTCAAGGAAGATGACCTTGTAAATTCAAGTGTTCTTATGGCTGTAAACAAATTTTTTTGTGAATTAGGCATAAAAGGAACACAGTAAATGGTTAATTGTGGCAATAATAAATAGCAAATTTGTGGCTTAGGATAAAATTTCCAAGTAAAAAAAAAAAAATTTCCAAGTAAAAGCAAAAAGAAAATTCAAAAACTGCTTTCCCTCAACTCAGACAGACTGAAGATAATAGGACCTGGAAAACAGTATTAAATAACTCAAAAAGTGGCTCCAGTGATAAATGCCAAGATATCATCAAAGATGACTATGAAGAGTTTATTTTTATTTTTTTTAAGATTTTATTTATTTATTCATGAGAGACATACAGAGAGAGAGAGAGAGAGGCAGAGACACAGGCAGAGGGAGAAGCAGGCTCCATGCAGGGAGCCCAACGTGGCATTCGAACCCGGGTCTCCAGGATCAGGCCCTGGGCTGAAGGCAGTGCTAAACCGCTGAGCCACCCAGGCTGCCCTGAAGAGTTTAAATAAAACTATTTAATAAATGTGGTAATAAGGAAAAAGAGTATTTATAGCAAACACAGTGCCTGCTTACTCTGTGCCAGATTCTGTCTTAACCTTTATATTGTTAACAGCAGCAGAGGTTACTTGACCCATCTAATTGCATTTTAAGCCTCTTATCACAACCCCTAACAGTATGGTATGGTTATTATTCTCATTTTCTAAATTAGCATATTTCTAACATGTAATCTTTTACTTTGTACTAAGTTAAATAGTATTAGAAAACATTAGACTTCCATCTGTGTCTCTCCAAGTTTATATACACACTTCTTTTTCTCTTCTTTTAATATTCACAATAGGAAAACAGAGGCTTGTCCTCTATTAAAGTATGTCCAGGGAAAGTACTACCATTCAAATGATACTTTCAAATATCAGAAAAAAGGAATGATTCCTATGAAAATGTAAACATAATATATCAAATAATCAGTCAACATCAAAAGTAAAGATTAAAAAACCAAACTAGAAAGGCGTGCTATAATCAGTGGTTCTCAACAGGGGTCGATTTTGATCCCTAGGTAACATTTGGCCAAAGTGTGGAGATATTTTTGGTGTCACTACTGGAGAAGGGGCTTGTTCCTGGCATCTAATAGGTAGAGGCTGCTAAACATCCTGGAATGCACAAAATACATCACAAAATACATCATTTTGCTCCCACAAAATAATTATCTAGCCCTAAATGTCAACAGTGCTGAGGTTGAGAAACCCAGCTATAAATTAAAGCCAACAGTCATCTCACAGGTGTTACTACTAAAATACACTTGAACAACTACAGCTATATTCATCATTGGAAAAGTTATACCACATCCCCTTCAACAAAATTATGTATGTGTCTACAGATGACATGGCAAAAGGAAAAAAAATGACCACACTATATGACCAGATTTTTAACGTGAAACAGCCATGTAACCACAGCTTTCTTCTTCCAACTGTCAGAAAGCAAAGTTACAAGTAAACAGAATATATTTTTATCCACTATTAAGAGTCCTTAAAGGAGTCACAACCCAAAAGATACTATAATGTGGACTCACATCATTCTTCCTCCTTAGTTTCTCTCAATATGTATTCAAGAAAATCTTTAAGATTAAAAGCCATAGTAAAAAATGCAATGGTTTGTCAACTACTTCAATAAAAAACATTTAAAAAAATTCAATGCTTCTTTCCTGTCCCCAAACAAAAAAAAAGACACATACATTTTCCTTCCCTAAATACATAAATTAACAGACACCTCAAAATGGACCTTTGACTCTGAAGCTATTTTACCCTTTAATAAACATTTATAGAACATAATTACAATATTTTGGTCCTTTGCAGTATTATAAACTATAAATATTGGAAAGGGGCAAAAAGAAAAGAAAAAAGAAAAGTTGGCAGAGAATTTATTTTAAAGACTAATTCCTTAAATAACATGGAGTCCTACCTTTAAAAAAAAAGCATTTGTTTAGGGAAATCATTTCATAAATGATATATAGTTACACTGGACTATGAGTCATTAAATTATATTCAGAAAATATAAAACTTAGGGGGAAAATATTTAAAATAAATGGAAGATGCAATGATACAAAATTTAAAAAAGAAAAGGAAACAGTGTGGCAGGAGACCAAAAAACAAAACAAAACAAAACACAAGACTGGAAAGAAATTGGTAATGGTTGTCCTTTGGGCAGTGAAGCTATAGGCATCATTTTCCAAACCATCTTTCTAAAGAAAACAATGTATTTTTAAAAGAAAAAAAATGCTTAACAGGAAAAAACTTAAATCATATTCTCATCTTAATCAGATACCTCCATAAGTCTTTCCTACTCTGTCTTCATCTCAGTCTATACACACAATACACTATTTCTCAGCTTGCTATGGACCGACTTCAATTCTTTAAGACATTTCTCTTTAAAATGCACTAATTATTATGGAGACAAGTTTACATGTATTTATTTTATTTATTTATTTTTAAATATTCTATTTATTTAATTTAATGGAGAGAGAGAAGAGAGCACACGCACAAGCAGGGGGAGCGGCAGAGAGAAAGGGAGAAGAAGACTCCCCACTGAGCAGGGAGCCCCATGCAGATGCAGGTGGATCCCAGGATCATGACCTGAGCTGAAGGCAGACACAACTAAGCCACCCAGGCATCCCTTACATGCATTTTAAAATACAAACTACTCTTCCACAGAGCAAAATCACTTCAAAATAGGGCACGCTTGCATCTTTTTCTTACCCCATTTTCTCTTTGTAAAATAGGCATCGGCATTAGGGTCATTAAAGTGTCTGCTCATCATGGTCTCTCCTCCAGCATGGAAATCATATGCAAACACAAGAGCTTAAAATAAAACACAAACACTCATTACTGCAATGTAGCTTCAAATAATGAAGCCTACAAGCAGAAAGACAAGTACAAATTACTCACAAGGCTCCGCAAATGCTTTAGTGGTAAATACTTCACGCAGGGTTACAATATTGGAGTGCTGAATTTTTTTCCACATGTCGACCAATACCATGCATTTTGTGTTAACGAGACGAAAACCTTTAAAAAGAAAAAATTAAAAAAAAAAGAAAAAAATTTTCTATTAAACAAATGGCATCTCCCCTTTATTCCATCAGAAATGTGAAGAAAAAGCCATATTATGCATCATTTATGAGCTACTAATTTCCAAACAAAATAATAAATTTATTATCCTTTAAATTTGTTATTAAGCAAATAAATATATGCAGGACTGTTTCAGTAATCTTAGCCTCAATAATACCTTTGAAAAGAGGGCAATTTATATTCCTTACCATGTATCCTCCGAAGGCAATACGGCAGATCATCTTTGCTATTTACAGCTTTGTAGCAAGATGTAATATATCCAAAATTACTTGATTTCTGTATCCGATTGGGTGGTGGCAGTGGTTCTAGAGGAAACAGGCTATGGTAGCTGTCAACTTCTGTAGGGACTGCTAGAGTAATTCATAGGACGACAATTTTAACTTGCTGATATTCATAAATCTCTCAGAGTGATAAAGAAATCAAATCTACCATAAACCACCGGTATCAAAACATATTTTTGAATTCTGGAACAGTGTCAACATTCATAAAAATTCTATAAAACAAACTGGTTTCACTATCAATAAAAATAGTCATTATAAAACAACCAAAGAACAACCAGATTCCATATACTCGAAAACATGTATCTCTTATACCACAATACAATTCTTTGTTTCTCAGCTATTAGAAACAATTTGTGATCACTTAGAGATATTAAACATTTCTAATTCTGATGCTGAACAAAAATCAAGTCAGATTTTGCTTCTTTAAACACTTAGTTTGCACAAAATATATTTAGCCAGCAGTGTTAAGCATATGAATTCTTGTTTTTTAAAGTGTATAGAAATTCAAAATGACTTTAAGTTGGAAAGTAGGTATGTATAATATGTCTGTGTGTATGTGTATGTATAAATATGGCAATCCATAAAAACCTTCAACCATGGGGTATGATAGCACAACTTTAATTCCTAGCAAAATATAAAAGAAAGAAAATGAAAACCACTCTACAATCATGCTTTTCATGTTCCTCAAAGCAAGAAAAATTATATTTAAGAGTAACTGAGATAATGCATTGGAATTTGATCAGGATACTCTGGTTAGGCATTAAAAAAACTGTTTACTTGAATCCCAACTTATTTCTTATAAAGACTAACTGTACTTAGTGGCTGGTTTCTCTATAGAGTATAGGCAATTTCTTTTCTTTATTGCTATTTTCTAGAACATGTATCAGTTTTACAATCCAAAATGACAACAATTTTTTAATGCTTCACAATCAAATTATATTTTCCAGTTGGACAGCTTCCATTTTGTTAAATGCCTTGAATGACTTTAGGAACACTCACGATATTTCAAATGAGAAGCAAGCTAAGTGAACATGCAGAATATGCATAGAATATCATCTAGAAAGGAATACAGCAAAAACAGTAACCTCTGAGAGGGAGGATTTTTATTATCTTCTTTACACTATTCCTTACTTGCCAAAGGTGTTACAATAAATATGTTTAACACTATTTTTGCTTTTTATTTTTTTAAATTTCTATTTCTTATCAGAGAGAGAGCAAGTGCACGCACATGTGCAAGAGGAGAGGGAGGGAGGGAGAAGAGGAAGAGAGAGAGAGAATCTTAAGCAGACTCCACACAGAGCACAGAGACCTACCTAGGGCTCAATCTCACAACCCTGAAATCATGACCTGAGGTGAAATCAAAGAATCAGACACTTAGCCAACTGAGCCTCCCAGGCACTTCTGTTTAATGCTATTTTTTAAACACAGCAATATGTGGCACACCTGTGTGGCACAGTGATTGAGCATTTGCCTTCAGCTCAGGTTGTGATACCGGAGTCCTGGGACCGAGTCCTGCACCAGGCTCCCCATGGGGAGCCTGGTTCTCCCTCTACCTATGTCTCTGCCTCTTCCTATGTGTCTCTCATGAATAAATGAATGAAATCTTAAAAAATAAAAATTTTTTAAAAACAGCAATAAATCTTTAAAAAAAAAACTCACAACCCATAATTTTGACTTATGACTATTAAATACATGTGAAATATCCTATTAAGAAAACTGTCATTCCAGAAGACAGGTTCAAAATGACCCTTCCTATTACCTCTGCTAAATTCTTACATTCACCATCTCTTAGTTTTTGAAACCATATGAGACAGAACTATTTCATATGTAAGGAAAACAAGTATCAGACATCTAGAGAGACAGTTGGGATATGCAAACTAAGGACTCTGATTCTATAGTCCTATGCTCTTAACCCCTAGAAAGCATTTTGGCCATAGACAAAAAAACCCCAACTGATTCAATCTAACTTTCAAAACAAGGTCAAGTGGCATGTTCTTCTGAAATAAAGGCAGTACAAGGGAGTTATACCCACAAGGGAATATAGCTGTAACTTTTGCCCATTTATTTCTTATTTTAATGATCAGTGTAATTCCCACATATAAATGAAGAATAAATATTGTTTCCTGGTTGCTTCATGAGGAGCACTTAATAAGAGGAAGTTATTACTTTCAAAATAATAAAAATGTAATGAATGACTACTATGTATTAGTGAACCCATATTAATGAAATATGGGTTTTTATCAAGACTCTTAGAAAAAATTAATGCCAGAGATCTATATAAACCATAATACAGTACAAGGAAAATAGCTATGAAACAAGTACAACTCACCATGGCACTGGTCCTTAAACTTTAGCACCCTTCAGAATCACCAAGAAGTTTGTTAATACATAGTTTGCTGGGCCCCATGCCTAGTGTTTACTTATAGGTCTAGAATAGGGCCCAAGAGTTTTCAATTCTACAAGTTTCCAGGTGATAATGAAAAGATGCCGGGGCACCTGGGTAGCTCAGTGGTTGAGCGTCTGCATTTGGCTCAGGGCGTGATTCCAGGGTCCTGGGATCGAGTTCTGCATCGGGCTCCCTCATGGAGCCTGTGTCTCTGCCTTTCTCTCTCTCATGAATAAATAAATAAAATCTTAAAAAAAAAAAAAAAGATGCTCCTGGGTCAAGGATCACATTTTGAGAACCATTACACATGGAAAACAGAAGGGAGAAGGGAGCCATTCCCAAGAATGCTAGGAAAGATGTAACAGAAGATTTGGTATGCATACTACAAACTGAAGGATGAGACTGCTTTCAGTGAGCTAAAATGGGATGAAAAGAGTGCTTTGCTTTATGGCGAAGGAGACTCACCACCACCAAGTCTTGAATGTGTACACAGTTTTCAGGACTGTGAAATCTCATGTTGTAGGAGAATAGGGTATACCACAGAGGAGGTGCAAAGAGGAGAAAATGCTGAGAATTACGTGGGGATTGATCAGAGGGAAATTTAAAATACTATAATAAGGACTTGAAATTCACTATGCCAAGCAGTGTTACTCATAGCATCAGTGTGAAAAAGAAATTGAATGAGGGACACAATCAACTAAAAATCTTACACTCTTAAGTCCTTTGACCCTATTTGTATTTTCAAGCAAGGCATGTTGAATTTTCTACATTACAGGAAAAAACCAAAACCGAAAAAGCAATATGGTACATCAGTGGAAAACTAGGCATTATCCAAAGGATACCCTTCTAGTGTCTGATTCTTATGCTATGGGAGATATTTTACACTCGAGTAAACTATATGTAGATAACTGCTCACCCTGCAAAATAACTCCTGTTCTCTATGAAAATGCCAGTTTGCAGATTCATTTCAATTTTCCTTCTCTAAAGTAAGTCTTATAACCGGCTCCTCATGACTTAAATAAGATCTTTGAAATGCTTGTTTTTATGTCTATGCATTAAAATTTTATCTTGTTTCAGAAAGTCACCTTTTAACACTATATTTTCCACTCTACCATGAAATAATCATATGTGGTCTAATATTAACCTTAAAAACCAAATGTTTCCACTGACTGGACTATTCATTGTTGTTCTGCTCTTTGCTTCTAGTTCAATTTAACAAATGCACAAAATTAAGTATGAATAAAGGGAAATGTTTTTATCAATAAAAGGAGATGCCTAAATCATTGTTAGATATCAAAAATCAAAGTAAAGAAAATCAACTTGGATGATGATGGGCAGAGCTGCACTATTTATTTAGTTCAGCCCCAAGTTTTAGTCTGAGGTCCAATTCCACCAAATAATATTAAAAATAATCATAAAAAAATAAAATTACTGTCTTTGCTCTATTTAACCCTGCTTCTTCCCCTCAAAGAACATACAGAATGATAGGCTGCATCGAATAAGACATTGAATATCTGAGATTCACTGTAGTTTCTCAACCTCAGCACTATGAACATACCAGATTGGATCATTCTCCGTCATCGAAGATTGTTCTATGCATTGAAGGGTGTTAAGCAACCCAATAATAGCCAGTAGCATGCCACTGCCAGGTGTGATAACCAAAATTGTTCCAGATATTGCCAAATGACCCATAAGGGGGAAAATCATTCCTGGTGGAAAACCCCTGATCTACAGGAAATAAATTATGATTTCCAAGTTGAGAAGTATGGTGGGAGTATGAAATATGGAAAAGGGAGAGAGAAAAGAATAGCAAGACCAAATATTAATAAATGAGTCAACATGAGATGAAGATTAACAGTAAACATAAGACATGAAAAAGAGCAACTAGAGCCGTGATAGAAAAAAAAGCATTTATTAAAATTTGTTGAACATGGGGCACAGAATTAGATTAACAATAACCTTTAGTTTGTGACACTCGAATCACTGGCTCATGTCTATGCAGGGCCTGCTTTTATTCAAAAATTGTTTAAAGATTTTATTTATTTATTCATGAGAATACACAGAGAGGAGAGAGAGAGAGGCAGAGACACAGGCAGAGGGAGAAGCAGGCTCCATGCAGGGAGCCTGACGTGGGACTCAATCCCGGGTCTCCAGGATCACGCCCTGAGCTGTAGGCGGCACTAAACCGCTGAGCCACTGGGGCTGCCCTTATTCAATTATTTTTAATAACATAATAAGCATCAGCAAACACAGCACTCAAAACAAAAAGCTCAGACCTTTTCTTCAACTTACATCTAAATATACGGTTCTTTCTACCAACTTCTGCCTTCCTTCTCTTCTCTTTTCATATAGTTTTATTACATACCATAAGATATATACATATGCATACACACATACATTTACCATTTACATAATTGTAGTTAACTTTACAAAAAGCTATCATGCTATATGTAGTCTCTTGCAACTAACTTTACTCACTATGACATTACTAAGAGTCTTCTGTATTACTGCATGTCAGTGCAGTGAACTTTCTTCATTTAAGCTGCTGTACAATATTCTATCATCTGACAATATCACAATTCATTTGGATCAAAGTTTCTGCTATTTTAAGCGCCCCGGGCCAAAGGCAGGCACCAAACCGCTGCACCACCCAGGGATCCCAGAATCAGACTTTAAAATGACATCTTATTTGTATTTTTCCCTAATGATCCATGATGTTTCACATTCTGTCATAGATTTACTGGTCATTTGAATTTTCTCTTTCCTCATATGTCTATTCCTATCTTTTGGCCCTTTTTCTATTGAGTCATTTATGCTCTTACTGGATTGTGTTTTTTATATTCTTTACCAGCTGTGTAAATATCTTCTTCCAGGTATTTTCTTTACTCTGAGTATCTTTGGATTGTTTTTAATTTTAATTTAGCAAAATTCATCAGTATTTTCTTTAAGAGTCAATGACCTTTGTCTTCTGTATAAGAAATCTTTCCACATTGAAATATTAAATCAATTCACCAAGATTTTATAGTAAAAGTTTTTAAAGTTTTGTTTTATACTTTTAAGTTCTTAATCTATTTGGAATTGATTTTCAGATGTGGTTAAAGATAATGATCCAATTTTATCCTTTACCATAAAGAAAAACCATTTTTTCCAATGCCTTCTTTCCCCACTGAGATGCCACGTCTACCACAGAATGTGTCTGGGCTCTCCTTAGCCTGTTTCATTAACTGATCTAACCCAGTGCCATCACTCCACTATTTTAGTTATTACAGACTCAAACTATGCCTCTCCTCCCTCAATACACCCAGATTCTCCACCATCATCTTCAAAGTACCTGGGGTAGTCTTGGCCCCTTACTCTTTTTTTTTTTTTTTTTTTTAAATTTAAGATTTTAGTGATTCATTTGAGAAAGGGAGAAAGCACCAGCCAGGAGGGGCTGGGGACGGGGGTGGGGTGGGGGGTGGGGCTGGAGGGGTGGAGGGTGGGGGAGTGGGGGGGTAGGCAGAAGCAGACTTCCCACTGAGTAGAGAGCCTGATGCAGAGCTCTATCCCAGGATCTCAGGATCTTAATGTGAGGCAAAGGCAGCTGCTTAACTGACCAAGCCACTCAGGTGCCCCGCCCTGGCCCTTTAATTTTATCATCTGGTATGAAAAGTTCTGTTATGCTGTAACATAATTTAAAAAAATAAAGACCAAACGAAGCTTGAAACTTTCAGCTCTGTTTCCCAACTCCCAGGGAGGACAAAAAAGCTGAAGATTCAGTTCATCACTAAAAGCTAAAGAATTCATCAATTGTTCTCACAATGAAACTCCCATTAAAAAACAAAACAAACAAACAAACAAAAACCCACGCTAAACAGTGGAATCCAGAGAGCTTACAAGCTGGTGAACACACTGAGGTACTAGGAGAGTGGCACACCTTTGAAAGGGTATGGAAGTCCCCATTGCCGCCACCCAACCCACCACCTTACTTTGCCCTAGACACCTTTTCCATTTGGCTGTTCCTGAGTTGCTGTTCCTGAGTCGCACCCTCTATACTAAACCAACAAACTAAAGTGAGTCATTCTAGCAAATTACTGAACCAGTGGGGTGGGGAGATGGGGAAGTGGTGGTAGTGATTGTGGAAACCCCCAAATTTGCACTTGGCCACATAGAATATGGGTAGCCTGGATAACCCATTTCAGCTGGCATCTGAAGTAGGCATAATCTTGTGGGACTGAACCCTTATAGTTAGGGCCCTTAAAGTTAGGACATAAAGTACATGTCAGAAGAATTAAGAGTAAAAACAGCTCATGGTGCTTTGATTACAATTTTATTGGACCTATGCAACAGTTTAGAAAACCTAACATCTTAATCACTATGTCTTCCTATATATAACATAGTATTTTACTCTATTTATTCATCTTAGCTGATATCTCTTAATAAGCCTTCCCCATTGTGATCTCACACATCTTTTGCTGCATTTATTCCTAGCTACTGATAACCTTAAATGACTATAAATAGCATCTTTTCTTTTCATTATATTTAAGTTATTGCTTATTGATCTATAGAAATTTAACTGACATGTATTAATGTCAGTTAATAATTAATAATAATTAATATCCAGCTACTTCTTAAATTCTATTATAATTTCAAGTTATGTCTAATCTACAATCATATGATTTATTCATGATTGTATTCATAAAGAATGGAAAGGCAAAAATAAGCCAACCTAGTTTTCTTTTCTTCTTTTACCCTGGGTAGGGCCTCACAGACAATATTAAATATTTAAGGACAATTCCAACCTGAATACCTCAAGGCTGGGACAGGTAAGTTCTCTGTCCATCTAAACTGAAAAGATTGGTCTTAAGGCATGATAGCTTGACATACTCCTTTTAATTCTTCAGCAATCAAGAGGATGCACAGTGAACTATGCTCAATCCTTGATTATAACCATGTGTCTTGAGATTATCTCTAGGGCAAATGTATTCCTACTGATTCTTTTTTTAAGATTTTATTTATTCATGAGAGACACAGAGAGACAGAGAGGCAGAGACATAGGCAGAGCAGAGAGAAGCAGGCTCCATGTAGGGAGCCGGATGTGGGACTTGATCCTAGTATTCCAGGATCACCACCTGCACTGAAGGCAGAGGCCCAACCGCTGAGCCACCCAGGTGCTCCCCTGCTGCATTATTTATAATGCAGCTAATTTTGCTGCATTATTTATAATGCAGCTAATTTTGCTGCATTATATCGTATAATTTTGTTAAATTATACCATATTTAATCTTGCTATATAGCAAATAAGCTGGGGAAAGAGTTTTTTTTTTAAGATTTTATTTATTTATTTATTCATGAGAGACACAGAGAGAGAGAGAGAGAGAGAGAGAGAGAGAGAGAGAGAGAGAGGCAGAGACACAGGTAGAGGGAGAGGGAGAAGCAGGCTCCATGCAGGAAGCCCGATGTGGGACTCGATCCCAGGTCTCCAGGATCAGGCTCCAGGGCCGAAGGTGGCACTAAACCGCTAAGCCACCCGGGCTACCCTGGGGAAAGAGATTTTAACTGCATTCTAAGAAACGCTGTAGCACAGACAGAAAAACCTAGGTTTAAATTCTGACCCAACCAGACCACTGGTCTTAAAGGCAAGTTATTTAGCCTTCCTGTCAACCTCAGTTTTCCTCACACATAAGAGGTATTCATGTCTCTGTCATAGAATGCTTGTGAGAAAGAAAGTATGACATATTAAAAATTCAATTAGCACACTGTCTGGTATACCACACTTCCAAAAATAATAATTACCTTCCCCCTCTGTTTAAGTATCCATATTTCATCAAGTTTCAGAAGACAATAATACTCCAGTGCACAGTGAGGTAAAGTACTATGATTTCTAAAACCACCTAATTTTTTTGACAAACTAGATACTGTCACATGTAGAAAGTGAAATGAACTAGATGATCAGTGGCATCTTGGAACGCTTCAAAAATAGATTTCAAATAAATATATTCATAAAATAGTGATTAGCTATTCAAGGCATAAAAATATGTACATAAAGGTAATAATATCCTTTAAAGATGAATCAATTCACATTTTACCTGGCATATCTGCTTGATCAATTTGAGCCATTGTTATTAAATGCCTGTTAATCAGCTCCTAAGAAAAGAAAACAAGTCTATTTACATATAAACATTATAGCTTCTGAAATCTGTTTTCTATTATAACTAAATAATGTAGTATTAGTATTTTTTGGTATGTGCACTTTTTAATGTTGATAACGTGAAATAACATTTCTAATAATGATAAAATGTCTAAATTCCAGTCCTAGATAGACCTACCCATAATTAAGGGTTAAGTGACTGACCTATAATCCAAAGCACACAACTAACTCTGTGGCTAAAAACTCAAGGCCTATCCTAAGTTTGACTAACAATTCACTCATCAACACTATACTGGTACAACTTCTGTGAAATAAAAATTTTTCTGAAAATATAAATATAAAATGAAATTCTACATATCAAATAATACTTAGCTGTATACCTAAAAAAAGGAAATGAAATTCTTTTAATAAAACCTACTTTATAGAAAATACTAAGCTCTTTTAAAATGAGTTTACATCTAAGCCAAACTATTTATTCTTATCCTATAATATTAGCAAAAAGTTGTCTGACGGTTAGAAACCATTTAATATATTTCAAAGAGACCTTACAATGCACAGGTTATGAAGTGCAAAAAGGTAGCCCATTTAGATAGCTATTCTGTTATATGTCCTAACACACACTTGCAATTTGTCTTGAACATTAGGTTTCCTTAAATAAATTCTAAATTCTATCTGCTTTAGTAGCATACTTGATTGAATTATATGATTTGAAAAGAGTTTTGTTTTTTCTCCAGTTGTTTGCTAAAGCACAAGAGATATTAAGTATTTCCACCAGAGATTCTGAAAGCATACCTGTCGGAGTTCATCAGCCATGAAGAAGGAAGGTGCATTTGCTTTTGGTTGCATATAAGCAACATGAGGTGCAGTTGGAGGGTAAATATGATAGTTTGGAAATACCTAAAAAGGCAGGGAGGAGGAAAATGTAATAACCAATTATTCTCAACTGATGAGCTTTATCAATGTTTTAATAAAGTTTTAATCTTTAAATGACAGCGGTAAATAAATGGATACATTTTAATGATAATGAATTAAATACCTCAGAATAGCTGTTATTAGTATACTTTTTGAATGAACTCACTTTAAAAATATTATACTGCAATAATGAATTTAAAAATCTAACAAGGAGGGGATCCCTGGGTGGCGCAGCGGTTTGGCGGCTGCCTTTGGCCCAGGGCGTGATCCTGGAGACCCGGGATCGAGTCCCACGTCGGGCTCCCAGTGCATGGAGCCTGCTTCTCCCTCTGCCTGTGTCTCTGCCTCTCTCTCTCTCTCTCTCTGTGTGACTATCATAAATAAATAAAAAAAAAATTAAAAAAAAATAAAAATCTAACAAGGAAACATTTCTTCAAATACAGTAAAATTTAACTTCTAATGAGAGAACAAAGCTGCTCTTTGGAAGAAGTGTTATATAGTTTGTAAGTATTTTTTAAAGCAGTTGAGAGAGAGGAAGAAAGCAGGTATTTAAAGTGTTTGGATTTAGTCAGATAATGAGGTTTAACACTGCCTTGTCTACCCAAAGAACCACTCCCCTGAAGGGCTTTTTTGGCTAATCTAAACAAACTTGTTATGTACATACTGGTTTCAAATTGCAACAGTAAAGAGGACCAACTGACTTAACTCTCCCTCTGGGACTGAAGCTTAGGTGAACAATAGGGTGCAACAATCTATTTAAATACTTTCTGGGCAAACCAATAAGTTACTAAATCTTCCAGCTTCTTAGAAATGGACTCTTCTTCACCCCGTTTCTTCTGTTTTCCTATGCCTCTCCTTCCTCTTCACTGGTCCCTGATACAAAAATCAATGTACATTCTAAACTATGTTTTCTTTTTTCATTTTAAAAGCTGAAAGAAACACTTTTTTCCCCCCTCTCTGAAAAATGAATTCAGCTAATTTCTGCTGCCCTCAGATGATCACTCTTGCTCTGGATCTCAATCAGGAAGTGGTTTTGCAATACCTGTAAGGTTTCCTTTAACCTAAATCTGTAGGGAGAATAATACCTCCTTTTTCTCGCCTTGGTTTTCTTACACCAGATAGCAGTTTGGCTTAACCACCACAGGTTTACCATGAGCATATTTTTAAGAGTGGTGTGAAGGGTAAAAACATTGTAAAAATGTGCCATATATAATCACTACAAAAACAACTGAGACAGTTTTGTGACAAAAGAACCTCTTTATAGATTAAATTTGCTCCTTCTACAAATATGATAAAATATAATAAAAATATAAATAATTATAAAATATAATAAACCCCCAAAAAAGGTAAAACATTGATGGAATTCTTACTTGAAAGAACCAAGGAAAGTCTCTACTCTACCTCAATTATTTGACCTTCTGTTCGGCAAGCTGTTCTGTGATAATTTTTGAAAGATCTCTGACCAAAAACAAAACAAAACAGAACAAAACTATTAGCTATTTATTAGTTTTTAAAAAGCATTTTACATAATTCATAAGTATGTCTACAAATGTTTTCACATTTATTTCTCACAAGGAGGTTAGGTATTATTATCCCCATTTATAACTGGGGAAATGGTCTCAGAGGTACTAAGATTCAAAAGTCACAAAACAATGGCAGGACTAGGACTCTTAAAAAACAGAAAAGCACTCTGTCATCTTTGCATTCAAATTGTCTTTTAGTAAAATATTAATCAAAATAAACCATTTATTTAACTTGTGAGATCAAAATTTGCTTACTAAAACCGAAGGATAATTTTCATCTAAAACTATCATCTATAATTATGTCAAATGTCTACAATTTAGATCAGCTCTTGTGTTTTAATGGAATTTGGCTTTCTAACTCACATGCTCTTCAACTACTACTTATTTTGCTATACTAGTTAAAAAACAATTTTTGAACATGGACACAACAGTTGAAGCTAAAAGATACAATTTGTGGAACATGAAGATATTTTCTCTCTCTGCCCTTCCCCTCCTCCCTCCTTTGTTAACCCTTTCCTCATTTGTGATCAGGGCTTCCCCTGGGCTCCCTCCCTCCTTACCAATAATCCATATTGGAGACCTCTTTTCACTATGTGATCTCCACTATCCAGAAATCTAGAGATTAAATCACTGCCTCATCTGAAGGAAAGGTTTATCATCAGTTTACTTTCAGTAAATATAGGAAGCCATCTACTTTCTCAGACTTCTTACTAGAGGTAGACTAGAGGCAAAACTACCTATTATACCTATAAACAAATGTAGCGAATGTCAACTTTAACTGGCACAAGTATAGGTAATCCCATAAGCAAAACATGACATGAAGTACTAACTAGAGCTTGAATATAATCTGTGAATAAACCCAGATTTGTCTAAACCTGGAGTTATTACTACAGAAACAGTTTACTTTGAAGCAATAAGAAGAGATTAGAGTTATCATCTAAGTTAGAAAATCAAATACTTTTTCACATCACAATAAAAAGATGCAAGAGGGGGTAAGCCTCCTCATTAATCTCATTAATATGAAGGAACTGTTGTAAGAGTACTATAACTTCTCCTTTAATGCAGACATACCATTCCAGTCAAAGGTGCTGGGGTTGTGTCTGTATAGAAGTAAGTCGTCCCACCGACAGTTTCCTTTTGGATCACCTGACCAGAAGATGGAGTCTGAGAAACAGGATTATTAACAGGTGTAGAGGCACTAGAAGGCACCATGTAATTTGCTGGATTTGGAGTGTGACTTCTTCTTCTAGGAGCAGGAGAAGTATGCGGAGTGATCTTGGGAGAATGAAGAGGGGAAGATCCAGCAGACAAGGACATCCCTGAAGAAGATGTACAAATGTTTCTTAGGGAGGAGAAATTGGTTTTAAAGAAACACATCTGGAAATAAAATGCAAACATTCATTTGGAAGAAACATCATCTTTAGCAAAATCAAGTGCAAAAATAAAAGCCATGATTTTATCTTGGTTATGTTTTAGAGAAAGCTCTGATGAAAGCAAATGTAAAGATGTTTCTTTTTTCAAAGATAGACATTTCTAAATAATTTCCTAACTAGGAAATTTATTGCAAGAATAGTCTCCTCCATATCAAGGTTTACACAAGAAACTTCAATAGTAAGAATCATCAGAAATTTAACAAATTAATTTAATGGAAAAATGAGAAATAACAAACTGAGACTCTTTAAAAAGCCTTTTTATAAGCCTTTATAAAAGGCTTTCTTTCATAAAGGGCCCAATTCCCTTTCTGTGAAGAATCATTTAAAACTATGGCTATTAACAACACAAATACCACATTAACCTAAAGTAGTATAGTATTAAAAATAAAACTATTTAATGAGATTTACTAGATTTCTTTTGGCCAAATACAATTAACAGAATGGTTGAAAAAGCAAAACAATTAAGTCTAGTCTTAGCTGAAATACACAATAGCTTACACATTATATTTTTTAATCAAGCAATAGACTGTTTTGATGCCTTTTGTCTTTAACTCTAAATAGGCATATACTAGAACAAATGAAAACTTCTGCAAATGCATACTTTGTAAAATTAGGCCAACTGATGCCACTAGGTTCTAAGAGAAGTTTTATCCAAACACAACTAATAAGAAACCATTATACGGAGGGCATCCTCTATTATGATCCTAACGTGAAGAAAGGAAAAGGACAATTGTCTTAACCCTTCAGGAGATTCCAAGCTAGCTGAGAAAACAAAACCAGGTCACATGTAAAAGACATAAAATATAAAATGACTTACAAAAACACTCAAATATAAATTAATATACTGCAAACTACATGCATAATAAATGCAGATGGATGCAAATTAATTAAAACCAGGTAGAATTAATCAAAGGCTTAATGGAGGTGATCAGTTCTGAGCAGAGATTAAAAGAGTTTCTAGAGCTACAGTTAGACTTCCTGAAAAACTTGGCTTATCCACAAACTGTTTTCTGGCCATTTGGGGAATGACTAAAAGCCCACACTTTAAAGTAATTGCCATCTCACAATGCAAGGAAAAAGTTTATCAAAATGCCTCTGGTCAGAAACTATGATTAACAGGGACATGAATTTCAATTCTGAGGCATTCATAAAACATCAATAGTGTTTTTTGGAAAGATGTAGGTGGACAAAACTAAGGTGAGAACTGAGATAATCCTTATCTTTACTCAGGATAGCCCTTTGCAGTTTCTAAAGAGCCTTAACATAATTATTTCATCTGATTTTCTGAGCAACTGATTGAGTTAGGCAAGTGAGGCAGGTCAAGTTACAAGCACCATAGCAGAGATTAGAATTCAGACATGAAGAGGTTTTGAATTGACCAGTGACATTTGTGCAAATCCAACAGCAAAGCCAGGACTCAAGACTCCAAACTCCAAATGTAACACTCCTACTGCTATAACAATGTCTACTGCATTGACATTAAAGCAAGTCAGGCATTCTCAAATTTGTCTTAAAGGTATCTCAGAAAAACATTAAAAATCTAAACCTCTTTTCAAAAAGTGATTATTTATAAGGAGGCCAAACTACTATATTAAGATATAAGCTTATTTAAAAAAAAAAAAAGCACAACAAAAAACTGTTTCAGAGTTCTGTTTTTCTAACTCTATATTACACATTTAATTGCAGGTTAATCCATAAAGCAAAAATTGAATTATTAACTATTTTCAAAAGACAAATACTCCCCACTTACCTAATATGAAATGCATTTAAGACAGTTTCCCTAAAGCTAGTGTTTAAGTCTTTCCAAGCCAAATCACCAAAGATGAGCAAATTTGTTTACTACCTTTAAATTAAATAACAACAACAAATATAGCTACCAGTTCTTGAATACTTTCCAATGTGGCACTAATAAAAGTACTTCATATACATCAGTCTATGTACTCCTCACAACAACCCTGTGAGGTAGGTATACCACATTCACCTCACTGCTAAGAAAACGTTTAAAAATTTTTTATATTATAAGGACGAATATAGGTTATTAAACAAAAGAATCCAGACTCAACTCAGGTCTCATTGGATTCCAAAGCCTGTGCTCTTAGCCCATAAGCTATCTAGTTGCCTAGTTCCTATGTCTTATACTAGAAAGTAGAAAGGGGATCCATTACCCATAGTAGTAGCATTAGTGACCACATTAAGCCATGTGGAATAGAAGCGCAGCATGGAGTGCAGGGAAAGATTCTGACACCAAAGTAGGTGTGCAAGTAAGACAAAAGGTAGAGTCTCTTTAAGCCTGAATGCATGGAAAAAGATTACCAAAACCAAACTGTGGTCAGTTAAGAAGGAAATTCATGTATAATAGAATTTATAAGTTGTAATGTAACTAGCTTTCTCTTAAGGATTTTTAATTTTGTTGCAGCACTGAAATCTGAGTTCATATATCTGAGCTGATACTTAATACATTCAAAATAAAATATGTACACTATTAAGCACCAGCTATAGGGGAAACAGGATATTTAAATGTATAGGAAGCTAGAAATGAAATTAACCCCTAAATCACTGAAACTTCACACCTAGTCACATAAGGCACAGCTTTGTGCCACCAGAATATCTCAAACATGTTAAAGAACGGAGTAAAATATGCACATATCTGTTCGAAGAGAGGTATTCTGTACCTAACTACTGTGAAGACAACAGCCACCACATACTTAATGTCAACTGCCTATATATAACACTAAATTATAAACAGCCCAAAGGAGTAGAACCATACTAAAGAAATGAATAGTTAAAAATAAAGATGAATTAAAATGAGATTTGATTTCACTTCTCTCACATGTAAATACTGCTTTTTAAGTTCTATTTTTCCTTATATTGGGGATAAGGGCTACTTGTGGTAATTACAACACCAACACCCTACCCTTAACTGGTACTCAACCACCAGAACACTTAAGCAAATATAATAATCACTGAGGATACTATAAGAGACAATCTGGAAGAATGAAAAATTGTATTTAAAAGAAGATGATTTAGAAATATTACATTTTTGTATTTTTTTGGCATTACTTTTTGTAATTTATTCTTAGAATGACATTTTGTTGACATCTTATGCCATAACTGCACTATAATTTATTAGGTGAATATTCAAACTGTGATACTTAAATCGTATATGTTAAATTAATTGTTTCAGAACATCTAAAAAAATCTCTTCTTAAATGTATCCCAATTCAAATAGAAAGGAGGAAACAGTAAAGAGATGCTCACTGGAGGAGTTAACCAGAGCAATTAACAAAATATAAGAAATGATATAAAAAAAACCTTTAAGGCTACAAAGTATCAGTGTTTTTGAATGACATGACTTTATACCTGAAAAACCTACGAAAACCAACAAAAAGACACTTGTAAATAACGACATAATTCCCTAAAGCAAATGGTTACAATATTAGGATATACTAAATGAACAGCATTCCTAAATATGAACAACCAGTTAGGGCAATATTGTTTCTGGGAAATAAGAAACACTGAGCTAACAAGATACCCTCCCCTCAAGCCTTATCAATGCTGTGAATACATGGAACTAAGAGATATGATACAACCCAAATTTAAAATATAGCTGAGATAAAAAAGAACAACAAAAACTCCAAGAGTAAGAAATTAAGGAAAAAACTGGAGTTAAGAGGTAATACTGTGGAAAGTTTGAGGAAAAATCTAGACTAATTGAGGCTTTAATGCCCACAGGAGAATATGAAACATGGCCTTCAGCCCATAAAACCTGGGGATTAGGACTCTAATTTCAGTGTGAAGCCAAGGAGTCTGGAAAAGTTGCAACATCAGTGAATGTAGGATGAGAAAACTTCTTTCTACCTACTAGCCCATAGAGGCAAAAAGTAAGTTTAGTTGTGGAAGAGAGATGGAGGAAAGGAGAAGGCTGGAGCTGTGTTGAGAGAAAAGAATCCCATGCCAGTACTATACACAGGTATAGCAGAGAAAATTCCCAGGAGACTTCATTCATGTTACAGGAATCTCAGTGAAAAATTAACAAAGTTTGAACTGTCCTGGACATTTGCGTGAAGCAAACACCAACTGTTTTTGATGAATGCTTCTACAACCCAGAACACACAAGATCTCTCCCTAGAAAAACAATTCCACTTAAAAGAACTCCCAAAGTAAGGGTCAGCGTGGACAATAAACTTGTGAATTAATACCATGAGAAAAAGGGATCTCAGAAAACAGAATGCTATAAAAGATATAAAACTGAAACTAAAATGATTGAAGACATGAGAGAAATGACAAACATAAAAAGAAAAAAACATTTGTTCTTCTTAAATAAAACTAAACTCTTTAAGAGTAAAAAATATAATCATTGAGGCAGCAGTTTGGCGCCTGCCTTTGGCCCAGGGCGCGATCCTGGAGACCCAGGATCGAATCCCATGTCGGGCTCCCGGTGCATGGAGCCTGCTTCTCCCTCTGCCTGTGTCTCTGCCTCTCTCTCTCTCTCTCTCTGTGACTATCATAAATAAATAAGTATATATATATAATCATTGAAATTAAAGGGAAAAAAACTCAACAGATGAATTAAATAGCAAAGTAGACACAACCAAGAGAGAAAAAGTAAACCAGAGAAGTAACTGAGGAAATTACCTAAAAATAAAACTTGGGAAATAAGGAAAAGTGGTTAGGACAAACAATGACATTAACTGGAGACTGCATCAGCAACATTATACAATGAAATAATCAAAGTAAGAAGGGAAAAAAGAATTGTCACTTAAAGTTTTACACAATTTATTTGCAAATGAGGAGGAATATGAAGACATTTTTTAGAATCTGTCACTCACATCTCCTTGGTGAAATGATCAACTTCGGTATAGAGAAAACCCCTTCTCCCCAAAACC